AAAAAAAAAAACATTCTTACATCAGCATTTTGTGCCAAAAGATCATGGATATGTTCAATTTGTTCAGAATCTCCGCAACCTGCTGCATATATGCTTGTCCCTGGAATTTGCCGTAGTTTTTGAACGTCGTCGCGGACTGAAAAAATAAAATGAGCAGAGAAAAAGTTATTTCTCAACGTTGTCACGTGCTAAAAAATTTAAATGAGCAGAAAAAAAGATTAAACAAACACAAAAGCCACATTGAGCAAAAAAAAAACAAACATGATGTCAACAGTGAACTTACCAACAACGTATCTCTTGTCTCCTAACAGATAACCTCGTCGTGAATCGCTGGCAAGTAAATAACCCCCATCAAGCTTCAAGTATGCAATAACGGTTCCATGGGTTCTGAAACAATTTCATTATGAATTTGAGGGCAGTGGAGTATAGATAACATTCAATATTTTAAAATAAACCAAACAAACATCTACAAACTTTTTCAGTAATCACAAACAATTATAAGATTAGAAGTAGAGTGCACAAACATGTCCAAGTTAATTATCAACAGCTATGGCTTGCCCATACATAAAAGATGTGGGACAACTCACAAGTGACATTCTAATCGAATTCGGATTCTATCGTTTAGTTCAAAACTTCAAATCTAAATTTTTTAAGACACGTACGCAATGGCTTGTCCATCTGATGTTGATGTGCCTCGTCCCAGCTCGTCCAATGCCACGAGGGAATTTCGGGTTGCGGAATTCTACCATCCACCAGAACAGATTAGCACAATAAAAAAGGAAAATAAAATAGTAGGGAATCTTATTCCTTGACTTGATTTAATTAATAACATAAACATTATAGCTTGTAGTCTAAATTCCAGTGCAAACAAAAGATCGTCTAACCATCATAGATGCAGTCTCAGAAAGCTCAGTCAGAAAAGTGTTGTGGCCGGCCATAATCTGATCTTTAGCACCCATTCGAACAAATATCTGATCTACAGGAGACAACTCAAAACTCGCAGCGGGCACATCTGCTCCTATCTGGAAAGTATCAAAGTGAAGCCATTAATAATGAATAATTTTTTTTTTCTTTTCCCCCTTTTTTTTATTGGAAAAAAATAAATTCAAAAATCTCACTTGGGCCAGAATCACAGCCAAGCAAATTTGGCGTAGTAGGGTAGACTTCCCACCCATGTTGGGACCTGTAAGGGGTATAAAGCTAGCCTGAGCAGGACCACCCAGCATGACATCATTGGTAACAAAAGTACTCTCTCCCAAAGCATCACTTCTTAGAACAGGATGTCCTAAACTCTTAGCACTAAGGCATGGCAAGTCATTATGATGTATTGTGTTTATAATTGGACAACAAGTTTGGCCTTCATAATATCTAGTTGCAATGGACAAGCTGATTAAACAATCCAGTTCTGCGAGACAAAAGTAAGTCTCAATTTCCCTCAAATACCACTAATCCAACTATAACCAAGAGACACTATACAAAGAAGTTTACTGCTGAACCAAAGGTGCAATTGCTTGGTTTCCTCCGCAAAGACTTGAAGAAAACCAATGGAAGCAAAAACACACACACACACAAAGAAAATATCATTGAACATATCTCACACGAGATGAAATGGTCACAAAGAATTTAAGGTCCACATAACAGCTCTAATTCAAATTCATAAGGCATTAATACCTGCTATCGCAGAGACTATTTGTCTCCATTTAATGTGATTCTCGCAGAATCGTTCAATTAGTCTCCGGAAAATGCTCTTCAACTTTGCTTCCTTCTCGGATTCAGCTTGAGCAAGCTCTTTCATCAAATCTTTAATCACTGGAGTCCAGTAGCGGCAGAAACCCTGCACATAATATATTCCAAAATAAGAAGAAAGGCTGACTTATTCGCATGAAAAATAATATTACATCTGAACAAAATAACGAGAGAGATACAAGGCCAGATATGTGTCAATTTTGCACCAGTAAATAGAAACTCTAATCTATACTGTACAATATTTTGCAAGGTGCTTGCTCAACTATTTAATTATAAACTTCACCTACGACATAAAATTAGTCTAATGAGGATAATGTTTTATTAATCACCCTTTTACTAAAGTCAATAGTGTACTAGCAGTCTTATTCTGGAAAACCTCTCTAATTCATAGAATAGACTTTGTTTATATATAAATCTGCCACAAGCTCATCGTTTGAGCAGGAATGGCCACATAAATAAATGAACCTAGTTTACAAAATTAACCAAAAAATTATGGTGTTACCTTCTTAGATGATCTTAACTCGTATTCCTTTGGAATGCTCTGTGATAAACTTTCACGCACTTCCAAAAGATATGCATCTTTTCCAATCGTGACAAAACAAATCTACACATAACACAAAATAAATAAGATTATGCTAATCGATACCAAAAAGTTATGATTGTTGGACAGTGTTAATCAAAAGTTCTTACAGATGCATCTCCAAGTACTTTCCTCTGTTCCTTTAAATGTTTTTGGAGATTGGACTCAATATTTCTAACCATTTGGCATGCAGCATCATACTCAACATCAGCCCCTTCTCGAGGTATTATTCGCCCTGACTGATTGGCTTCCTCCCAATCAAAGGCATTTTTGAAATGCTTCAAACTTGAATGAACTTCAGAGTCCCTACAGACTGGAAAACAAATCAACCATATAAGATTATAATCGCTACAAAATATAATACCCAAAATTTATGTGGCATACCAGGCATTAATAAATGACTCAGCAGTCTGGACTCCACATTGTCTAAGATGGCTTCAAGTGAAGAGCATCCATGCGTCATCATTTCACATCCACGTAGAGCTGAAATGAATTCTTGGAGCTGCTTCTTAAATGCATCCTCATACAGAACAACTTTGTTTGCTTTCCTTCCATTAGCTTCACTGTATTTACCCAAAACAGTTAATAAATCTCTTGGAAGGACATACTAGGTTCACTCAAATAATGCCTAAATAATAAAACTTGGCAACTTCACCTGCCAGCAAAGATGCGTGCAAGCAAACGCTCCATGTCAGGAAGCTTTGACAACTCTTTTCTAAAGTCAAGAACATGTGATTGGTTTACTCCCTAAGACACAAAACATAAACAAAATAAAGGATTAATGATTGCGAACGTCATCTGCTAAAATCTTTAATTTCGGACTTTAATTGAAGACACCATTTAATTCCATTTATACGTGGAAACATGAGATTTCAAATCAGCAACCAATCAAGCATGGTAGTGTGGACATACTTTTTTCAGTCCTGCAATAGCATCCTGGCGTTCCTTAATTGACTCAATATGATGCAAAGGTCTTGCCAGCCATGTTCTAAGTAATCTTTTACCAAATATTGTGGCACAATGATTCAACTGAGCATATAGTGTCCTGAGGAAACCAAAAGGTGAGGCAGTGTAAAGTAAAATGTTGGTCATACAGAAAGCTTTAAAATAATATACGAATAGCAGTCCACGTTACCTTGAAGAATCTCCATTTCTGTTGTTCTCAAATATCTCAAGATTTTCCAGTGCAGATGCATCAAGAACCATATATGGTTTTTGAGTTATTTCACCAAAACCAGAACACTGAAGCAATTGAAAGTTCGCAAATCTGACAAGAGTTTCACCCAAGAAAGCCTGTTTCAGATAGAAAATAGCGCCACCAAGAGCTGAGAGTGCTTGGCTTCCATTTTCACCAGCACTCACAAGATTGGATAATACATCAGGTAGGCAGTTTGTACCATCAATTTCAAATAAAGATTCACTGGATTGAGCAACTACTTCACTCGCTGAACGTGAATAACTTCCAGCTCCTTGATAGATAGTCGTAACCTCACGAATAGTTTTTTCAGTATCCCAGAATTCATAAAAGGGAATCGATTCATTAACCAAAGGATTTCTTGTATGCCTAAGCAGTGCCTTTTCAGTCTCAGGACAAAGCAGCTTAGCAGGTTTTATAATTTCAACTGGTCTCAACTCAGATAATAAACTGCATAATGAACGCCAATCCGCAACATCCCTGAACTGATCAAAGGAAGCATACTTAATCCCACAGAGAACATACGGGAACAAAAGAAAAGAAAGTACTTAATTAAGTCTGGCGTGCATGCATATTGAGGGGTCACGGAACTTGGGCAGGTGTTCAGATGAAAAGAAAATATTCATGCTATACTAGGTTCTGAATACATAGGAATTCTCACCACCTTGAATACCAAAGAAGTACAGATACGAGGTATTAGGACCTTAGAATACATCAAAATTTCTCCTATTATTTTACTTCAGGTCCTCAAAATGAACAGCTTAATTTATATGTACATGCAATCAAATAGTATGCAGACAACCCCTGAGAAGAACATATGAGGACAAAGAAGAAAAAAAAATATCATGCACAACAAAATCCTATGCAAATAATTTCTGATAGTCTGAAATAATTAAGTCACACCCCACACCTCTCCAAGGACAATCTTGCTCGTTGCAGCATCAACCACACATATACCAAATATATGAACTCCTTGTTGATTTGCGGAAGTTAGACAGCCCTCCGTCACTGCTAATAGATAGAAAGCATCAGGGTTGGTTGAAAGCATTTCTCCTTCTGTTAAAGTGCCTTTTGTAACCACAGCACATATCTCTCGTTTCACAACCTGGAAAAGGGTATCAAAATTATCAGCCCCACAAACAAATAATAATGTAACTATAAACATTTCTTATAATGAGATTAAAGTCGGATGACTCATGACCTTATCTTTAGAGCCTTTTTCCTTTCGCCGAAGCTCAAGCTGTTCAGGTGTCTCTGTTTGCTCCACAACAAGAACACGATATCCCTGTTGATCGGGCAAAAAAAGTGCACGTTTTATATAGTTAATGGTGTATTCTTATACATTTAATTTATTCGCACGTTTATAATTTTCGACAAATTTATTATTTGGATGGATTTATTTGCTTTGATATTTGTATGCTTGATTTTCAGAATATTGGAGTATTTTATTAACGTGAAGCAATGGAAGGACGTTGACGCGATAAGATTATGTGGAGCCAAATTCCAAAGCAATTAAGGCTATGATTACCTGGTTATATCATATATTCTCATAACAATTAATATTTCTGAAGTACATAAACTTTTTATGTCTTAAGAGCCACGACAACAATATTTTACAAGCAAAGGTAACCTTTCTGGCCAGCTTCTCTACATTCATTGAGAAGTTCTTCTCCGGAAATCCACAATGAGGTTGCTCCCCCTGACAGCACAAATAGCTGTTAGATATCAACTCGAGCAATAAAGTAATCTTGAGAGCAAGTTCAAACTGCCTGGACATTGATCAAGAGTTATAATTCTTAAGAAAGTAAGTTTATCATTTGTTTTTTTCTTTTTGTGTCACTGTTAATGTATTGACACGGGACAGTGTAAATAGTTCACTACGTATCAATAGACTCATATACCTTCATATACTGCAAACCAAGCTCTCTGGCTCCAACATGTGCATCCATTTCAAAAAGCTCACAGAACTTGCCCATCTGGTTCAATCGTTAAAAATACCAGTGATCAGAACCACAACAACAAAATAATGAATAAAACTGACAACATGGACTAGCGACATAAGTTATTCTCAATGAACTTGGTAATTACCTTGAAAAAGAGAACCTTATCCATATGCTTTGACTTAAACTCCCACCATTGCCTCTAAAATTATAACATGCATACATATAACAATTTCAGAAATTATTCATACAGAAGTATAAATAGCAACTAAGGAAGTCACATACCTGGCCTACAGTTAAGTTTTTCACAAAATCTGACGGCAAATAAAGAGTTCTTGGGTCATAATTTACATCTCCAGGGGGCCTTCCACTTGCATCTTTACGATTTCTATTTCAGAAAGGAGACGAGTTAAACAATGCACCTGGTAAAAGTATAGCAATATATATCTATTTGATAAGCACATTATATATGGGAATGCCTCCGAATTATAAATAAACGTCAGCAGCGTAGAGGTTACAGATTCTTCCATTTGCTTCACTGTGATATTCTCCAGAATAAATATCAAGACTATACAAACACTTACACATCAAGGAAATGCAATTTATCTGCTTCTCGACTGGCAATCTCTGCATCATCTACCATTTTGGAGCTATCTACAAGAGATACTTTCTCACCTACGATGCAATATTGTAATATTTACTTTGGTTCACAGAATCAGTATGCTGTGTAATAAACAATCATATTCAAATAATTAAAAGAACTGAAACATTTAAACCCGAAAGGAAAAGAGATTAAACTTAAAATAGAAGGAGACACCAAAATATCAAACTTAAAATATATAATAGGCTTAACTGATTGGCGCCTACAACTATTGTCTGCTACTGGAATTGATGATCAACTTAAACAAGGCAACCGTAACAAAGATGAAGGAAAAATGATATTATACAATACGATAACTTGAAGTAATCTCAAACGGAATAAAAACGGAATCCAGCCTATTACAAACAAATAGACAACTCAATATTTTTACTTCCTGTTATTTTATTGGAAGAAGAAAAACTTCAGAAACACTTACTACAAGGACTAATTCTTTTACTGGGCTCAGTCAACTTTTCTGCAGCTGAGACCTCTGCAGCACTATTTTTCAACCCTCCATCAAATTTGCCTTTCTTGTTGGCCAACGACATTTGTTCTTTTTCACTCACATTCCTTTTCCGGGAGCTCCTCTTCTTCCCAAGACCATCCTTTCCAGATTCCTCTTTTTCCATCTCCAAGTTCATATCCTCCAATCCGTCCTCATCGTCTAACATTTCATTTTCATCATTTCCCTTCCAATCCTCAGCACCCGAATCATCTTCTACTTCTTGGATATCACTAAGAACGCCATTAACGTCCTCATCGTCTTCCACCACCGACAGTCTTCTAAGCCTCCGGAGCTTCTTCTTCGTCAGCTCCTCCTCGCCGTCATCATACTGCACCAGATGCTTGCCCGATATCTTGTCGAAAGACTTCAAGCAACCTTCATACCAAGACTTATCCAATGGCCAATACACCTTGATCCTCCTGTCAACAGCATCAGGCCCGCGTGTTTTTTTATCGGAGCTCCGAGATTCAGGTGAGGCAGATGCCGAATTCGGGGTGACAGCAATAAAGGGCTTCATGCACGTCGATTTTTTAATGGAGCTAACTGGTGAGGCAGAGGTCAAATTCGGGCTGATAACGAGTACGGGCTTTCCTCTTTCAGGCGGCAGAGGTGAGGGAGTCGACGGGCTCGGGCTTCTTCTAGGGTTAGGGTTTCACTTAGAGAGAATGGGCGATGGCGAAGGTGAAGGAGAGGGCGACGATTCCGGCTTCTTTTCGAAGAATGCGGTGATCTGACGCTGCGGATTGACCATCGGCGACCGGCCGTTGCTCGTCTTCTTCAATGGGGCCATCGGATTATTGTTTTTGTACCTTTGTTGCGCGTGTGTGGAGAGTAATGAAAGTGGAAAGGGAATTGCAAGATCAGTGAGAGGGAGAGAGAGAGAGAGAGTTTCAGTGTGTGAAGGCGGGAAGTAGAACTCAGGGCTGATCTGGAAATTTACGTGAGTGGGGCCATTCGAACTCTAGGATGAAATTATAAAATAAAAACATAAGTTGCAATTGTATATAAATATTTTTAAAAAATTTCATCTCATCCAAAAATATAGATGAAAGAAATAAGAAAAAAATGAAATTAATTTGAAGTTGTTATTAAATAAAAGATAAAAATGTACAAATTATAATTAATGTGATTCAATGACAATTATTAAGGTAGTGAATTAATAATATTTTATTAAAATTATAAAATAAGAATAACTTTTTATGTTTAAAAAAATGTGAAACAATATAAATAATGTTTTTATTGTTATATAACTAGAGAGAAATATAGAGAATAAAAAGAGATATTGTTTTAGTTGTACTAGTACGTACCCGTACGATGCACGGGACAAAGATATTAAATTATTTATTTTCACGTGCCTTATCCGTTTAAGTCTAAAAAACAATAGGGTTATCATATAGTTTCCACATCTTTTAATCAATGTTAAGTCTAAAAAAAAATTATAATGTTTTTCTACCTCTTTTAATCATTGTTGTTTTTTAGCCAGAACATTAAATATGAGTATGTTAAGGCTCGATTGTAATTAATTAATATATTATCTCACTAACACATTTATACTAATATAAATTTAATTTTAGTATATATATTTATTCCTTGATATAAGAAAAAATAACAATTTTACTTATTCTTGTTCACCATATAATAATTAATTGTTATTTAATTATAAACTTTGTTGTCATATAATGTCATTATTATTTGTAAAAGTTACAGAAGTTGTACATCTTCGTTTTCTTTTTATTTTATGTAATGAAAAACATTCAGTGCTCGCTAGTATTATTTATTCATGCAATCAATTTAAAAAAATATAAATAAATTTAAAATTAGATATTTAATAAATATTTTACAATATACACACATGTTTAGTATTATGATTTATGCACAAACGTACTCTAAATGAGTGAAGGAAAAAGTGACAATTAATATGAAACACACTTAGCAAAAATTGATAAAAACATGTACATGTAGTTTTTGACATTTAACAATTTGGTTTGTATACAGTAAGATTTTTCTAAAAAGATACTCCCTCCTATGTTTATTATTTGTCACTGTTTGTCCTATTTTTGTTGCATTTTTTCGTCATTATTTTATCTTTCTCTTTCTCTCGTTTTAGGTCTTTTCGTTAGTTTTTATTAGTTTTTATAGTTTATTGTGCGTTCTGTTCACTTTTAGTTTTGTTCCGTATATTTTTTCGGTTTTTCTTCATTTTTAATGTGCAGGTTTTAGAATTCGAGAGGATTTATTTTTCACGATAAGTATGTCAGGCGAACTTAAATTAAGAGAGCATTTCGTTGGGAGTACACAGGAAAATGCAGAATCAAATTTCGAGTACAAACGAACGTATACGAGTCAGAGGCGTAAAGTTGTGCGAGCCGTCCATTGATGTGCCCAGACCCCGCGTCGTGCTTGTACCATGACACAGCCAGAAGACAGAAAATGCACCCCGCACCGCGAAGACCGCCGCGCCGCGGCACATGTTGCCAAGCTCTCCCAGCCAGCGCCCATCAGACCTCGCGACACCCCCGCGACGTGACAACAAGCTGCCCCGCGCCGTGCCAAAACCTCCGGGCCGCGAACCAAAGACCTAACGCACCGCTGTTGTAACACACCACTTTGATTCTAAAGAAATTCCGGACTTTCTAAAAATCAGAACAAATTTTTCAAATTCATTTTTGAAATTAAGGGCATTAATCAAATAATTTACTTAGTTCAAGTCTTATCTGGACTCACGGGGATTCATAAACCCGATTTTTCACAAGGTTTTCATTAACCTGATTCACACCTCAACATAATATCCCATATGAACAACTGAAACTTCATAAATCAAACACCATGATTATTCAAGGTTCATAAAAGGGTTTTCCAAAATATTTTCAAACATCAAAACATAGTTCGAAAACAGTTTTTACATGTCCAAAACATAGAAAGGTTCATAACGACCATATTATTAAAGCGGAAGCAAAACGAAACAAATAATAGACCACCACTCGTCCTTCGTCCCGTCACCCAGCCACTGCTTAACCTGCATCCGTGAAGAGCAGGTGGGAATGAGCACAAATGATAAAGTAGTGCTCACTACTATGCACATAGTAACATGTAAAGATGGTATGGTCGCAGCATGAATATAAATCAATCATCATCATGTCTCATCTCCTAACAATCGTAACAATAACTCACTCATGTACACATCTACCATTAGCCACGGAAAGGGGATGCATAAATCCTAACGACGGGAGTGCGTGCCACTGTAACGGACACGGCCTTTCATTAGGTCTTAAGGAGACTTGCCTCGCAAGGGCAACCGTACCATAACTCGATGGGGACAACCGTACCGACAGCCGTAACAGCTCACATCAGTAGGCCACATGGTTCACATTCATACATTGGTCATACCAACTAAACAATAAACAACACGTATGACATAGACAATTTTATAAGTAAACCCACCTGGATAGCTCGGTAGAAAAAATAGCACACAATCACAAGTACGTAGGATGAGGCTCGACTCCTCAAACACCTACATTTAAGCGAGATAATATATCAATAATCTATCTCACTACTCGAATTTAACATGAAACATATACTTAATAAAAATTAAGACTTAAGGGTTTTAATCGGATTTTTCGTGGACTTGGAACTCTCTCATTTTCGAAAAATATGACTCGGAGAACTAAAATTGGAGTCTCGGGACTTAAAATAATTTTTCCACATTTTTCTCATTTGAAAAATAATTTTTAAAATTAAAATCGGTGCGAAAAACGGGTTCCAAAACTCAAAATAGGCCAAAAGGCACATTTGGGCCGAGCTACCAAGGAAATGGAAAAATTGGGCCACAACTAAGAAGGGTTAATGGCCCAAGACTTGGCCTGCTAAGGGGACAAGGGGTGCGGGCCTTTGGGCTGTTCGCGGGCTGGGACTGGGCTTCGCGGGCCAATGCTGGGGAGAGAGAACGGGCTGCGCGCAGGCTGAGTTCGGGCCATTCGGCCCGCGCGCTGAAGCTGGTTACATTTGAGAAAAAAAATCAAAAAATATGACTCGGAGAACTAAAATTGGAGTCTCGGGACTTAAAATAATTTTTCCACATTTTTCTCATTTGAAAAATAATTTTTCAAATTAAAATCGGTACGAAAAACGGGTTCCAGAACTCAAAATAGGCCAAAAGACACATTTGGGCCGAGCTGCCAAGGAAATGGATAAATTAGGCCACAGCTAAGAAGGGTTAATGGCCCAAGACTTGGCCTGCTAAGGGAACAAGGGGTGCAGGCCTTTGGGATGTTCGCGGGCTGGGACTGGGCTTCGCGGGCCGATGCTGGGGAGATAGAACGGGCTGCGCGCGGGCTGAGTTCGGGCCATTCGGCCCGCGCGCTGAAGAAGGTTACAGCTGAAAAAAAAGCAAGAAAGCAAGTGTTGGGGTTCGAACTCTGCACCTCTAACATATATATCAGCGGCACAACCACTGCACCACACGCCAGATACTACTTTGAATGTAATAATCAATTAGTGGATGAAAACAAATGTCTGTGACTAAACACAGATTGAACAGAGGTGCGAACGAAATACAAAGACTTGCAAATGACAAAAAATCTACGACCAAATTCGCAAAATCCATCTACAGCTCAGGTTCGGGAAAAATAGTACATATTTATCAGAGTTTGAAATATCTTAAAACGGGGTTTTTTTTATCGAAAAACGAAACATCAAAACACGGTTTGAAAACAAACGAACAAGACGATCCCAAAATAAATTACAACGAGACTCCGAAACGACAAAACGGGACTCCGAATTAACACGATATAGTCACAGCAACGTAACAAAATTTACTTTAACGAAATCGAGAGTTCCATTCATCCCCGAATAGTCCACGAACATACGATATGAATAACGAATATACGAACCAACAATTTAAACCGAACTCGAAACTAAAACGATTCAACGAACGAAATAAACCAACAATATAATTCTGAATAATGATTTACGAGGAGGTTTCGAAAAAGTTACCCGACTTCGGGAAACTACGAGTTATCGGAAAGCGGGTTGGACGAACGGGGTGAACGGAGGCTCGACGGAACGCAACCTCTGAACACGGGGCTAAGGGGACTCCTCGCGAACAACAACTCACTGGATGGGACGCCGGTGAGGAGTTGCAGGTCGTCGGGTTATTCGCCGGTAGTGGAAGGTTTCGCCACTTTAATCACTACAAAATAAATGTTATATTCCAACGGAAAATCCTATGGTAATATATTCCAATGGAAATTCCAACGGAAATTCTAATGGAATAGCTTCCGTTGGAATAGTTCCAACAGAAATTCCAACGGAAATATTCCGTTGGAATGTGTTTTTTCATTGGAATTTTAGATGGAATTTGATGATTCCAACGGCTATATTTCCAACGGCTGTTTACCGTAGGAATTTCCGTTGGAATATGCAAATTCCGTTGGAATTTTTTTTCTCACTCCCGTTGGAAAATCCACCGTTGGAATCGTCAAAATCCAACGGAAATTCCAATGGAAAACTCATTCCAACGGAATATTTTCGTTGGAATTTCCGTTGGAATCTAGTGAAAAATTTCAACGGAAATAATAGTATTGAAATATCCGTTGGAATTGTCGTTGGAATAATTCTTTTGAAATATATTTTTGTTGGAATTTCATCATTTTCTTGTAGTGAATGGTGAACGTCGGTTGCTGGCTCGAGTGGACGAACGGAAGCTGCTGGCTCAAGAGACGATGACTACTGGTTGCTTCGGTGGACGTCGGCGATGATTTCCGTCGGAAATAATGGAGTTTCACCGGTGTT